TATTTGGATCAATAATCCTATTTTTAAACTTAAGTAACTTCACATTTTAAGTCGTTCCAGCCAAGAATCCTTGTTTTCTAACCATATATTAAGTGAAACTTGTTTAAGGAGATTCATTTATGAAACTAAAGAAGTGGAGATGGCAACATTGACATGCAAAAAGCGAAGATAAATATTTTGTAAAATCTTAATTACAATAAATAAATATAAAAAACTAACCATGTTGCTGTAAAAATAAAGAAAAATGGAAAAGAAGAAAAGAAACTGACCTTGCTGCTAAGGAGGTATTGATATTCTTCTTTGTCATGCTCTTATGAGGATGTAGAAACAACGCATGTGACCATCTCTAGGCAGTCCTTTACAATAAATTCACTTAATCCTGGAAGCTCAAGACTATGACTACCCACATAGAAACTTGTCAAATCTAAACAACACTCCAGATTGATCAACCAAAGATATGGGAATTCCATTTTATTTTTTGCTCTTTCTCCCATTATCACTTGTTCCATTGTCCCACAGTTTTTTACTATTAATTGCAAGAGTTGCATAAGGCCCATGACCATGGAATGGGTTAAGAGGTACCTGAACTTGCTACAATTATAAATTTCAAGCACTTGAAGCTGTCTGAAATCTAAGAGTTCTTGAGGATTCTTGATATGCCATGTTTCCAAGAACTTAGGAAAATCTGATAGCATCAAAATTCCTAACCCAACAAATCCAACCTGCACAAGTGCAAAAAGGCGAGGCTAGTTATATATATAACACAATCCAAAACATAGTTACACATATAACAAAATCCAAAAGAAAATAAAACAATTTTTTATAAAAAGAATGAGTGGCTTCAAATATTTAGAAATCAATCCATACCTCTTCCATGAACAGTCTTTGTATGGTGGTATTAAGGTCACCTTCCCAACGGTACTTGTCCTCTTTTTCAATTGATACTCTCTGTAGCAATGGTGTATTTAGGTTTCCCTCACTAAAAATCTTCAACTTGGGGCATTGTCATACGGTTACCTTTTCCAAACATGGGAATTTGAAGGTGAAATTTTTTGAACAAAAGCTTCCTAGTCTTGGCAACCATTGACGTGTCAAAAATTTTAGTTTAGTAAAAGTGATCATGATATAATCTTGCATTCCAACTCCTTCATTTCCAACTATTTCAGTCAACATGTAACAGCTACCTACAGTCATACTTTTTAGCTGCACTAGACTTTGCGCTGTTGAGCCTGAAACCAAATTTATCATCCCTTTGCAATGTGTTACACTCAAAAGTGGTGAGATTCTGGAAACATGAATTTGAAATTGATAATATAATCAAACTATCACATTTGAATATATGAAGAGTTTCAAGATTTTGAAGGACACTTGATGAGTCATGGCTCCATATATGCCTGAGATATGGAAGGCACACAAGATCTAATATTTTAATCCTTGAGAGTGTCTCAATCTCAATGTGTTTCTCTTGTTCTTCAGCTTCTCCTTTTGAAGGGAACAACTCTTTAAAATTACAATGTCTCACAATGAGATTTTCTACATGGTAGAACCTTTTTAGGAATCCAACAGGTAAAACATCTAATTCATCATCAAGATACTCTTGAATTTGAAGAACTTTCGCATTGAAAAAGATGTCTTGTTTAGACTCATGCTCACATATCATTGCAATGTCATGTCTTGTTAATGATAGTTCTTCCAATTGAGGGATGATTTGAAAAGAAATAAAATTCAATAAAATAAGATCTTGTGATTATATATATATATATATATATATAATTATTAAAAATATTGTGCATTTTTTCACGAGGAAACCAAACACACTCTTATTACTAATTGAATTGAAAAATGCAGTATAGTACATTTTTGGGTGGAATGAACGTAATGACCCTGCCCTCAATTGTACAATTCATAAGTTTCTATTCTTAATTGTCAAAACTTGCATAAAAATAGAGTTTTGGGTTTGCATGTCAATTTTTATAAATTTTTATAATGGAATACAACAGTCGAGTCTATTTGGGTTGGTAATGACATATGGCAAACATCCAAACATTTTACATTTGCATGTAAGTATTAAGCACTTGTATTTGCATAATTTCTAAATTAGAAACCAAAGGAAGAGAAAAGGGCTTCTAGCTATCTATTTTGTGATACTTGGTGTTTGACATTTGTTTCGTTAGACCATGATTATTATAGTTTTGCCATGTGCTTTATGCTATTGTTTGAGTCTATGGATGGTTTGGAACCTATGCTAACTGCTACTTAATTGTTTGGGCTCTAAGTTGAGCAACTTTGATTGATTGGACCTCTACGTATCAGGGAAGCTATGGTTCGCCTTGATTAATGTGAAGTGCACCATTGATTGTTAATTGGACTCCATAGACTCTGTGATTGTTTGTTTTTTTGAATTGTTTAGTAATCTGATTTTGTTTGTTATATTTTGAAGTTAATGATTTAGGGTTGAATTTATGAAGAACTTATCTAAGTTATTTGATCCATATGGTTAAGCTATGCCTCTGCCACCTTCATATTCTATCTTGTTTGGATTTTGGTTATAAGTTTCAACATGGATTATTTGATTGTTCATGTTAATTTGACTCAAAGCTCACTTACAGCTTCAGGTTATAACTTACGCTTACTGAGCTTGATAGCTCATGTTTGTTTCTCTAACCATTTCAAGTTAACTAAATACGGCTAACATTTTTGGAAGTCTAGAAATTTCTCATGGTTTATGCGAAGGTAAATTGTATCTTCCCAACATTGCATATGGCTCAATTTTTTTTTTTTTAAGTTTTTTAAGTTTTTCTCTAATCTTGGGTATAATTAGAAGAGAGTTCTTCGGTTAAACCAATCATTACATTTTGTAAATATATTTTGAAATGGACTTCCTACTAAATACATGTATAAATGATTTGACTTTAAAATAATATGCCTTTCACTTATAAGATACTATCTCTTAATTCTTCTTGCTTACTATACTTGGCTTCTAAAGCTTAACATTTAGTACACTTATCTGCAAGATCAGATAATGCTTTCAAGTTATAAGAGTTCTTATTTTTAACCGGATTTTCTAACCATGACAGTAATTGGTTTGCTCTACTGAATTCAAAACCTAAAGCCAGCACTTTCTCGCTGCATGATTCACTGAGCAGCTTGTTTTTCTTAGTCTACAGATCAAGATTTTCTTTGCAAGGGTTTGATAGCCATAATAAAAGAGTTTTTAACTATGTATTTCTTAAATGAACACAAGCAGATTTATCTAACAGAAGAGATTTCAAACAATATATAATGATGAAATTAAAGAAATACCAAAAATTATCTTCAAGCAGTCTCACAAACAATATTTCATTAAAAAACCACTTAAGTCTCACTAAAGTAGGTTACTACATCGTTCCAATATAATATCATTATCCATGTATGTTGATTATTAAAAATTAATGACTTGTTACATGATATATATTTATAGCAAGGTTTTCTCTTATTACTTTATTTTGGCAAGAGGCTCTAATTTCACAATGGAAAAGTTATGATACGAATCATACCTTTTCCGTAGAGAAAAGTGGTAGTCGTCTAGGAAAGTCAAGTTGCCCATGCCCATCTGCTCTCTTTATTTGATTGAAATGGCAAAAACAGAATACTTTCAACATTGGCTAGGTTGTCGTGTGCTTCCCTGGGTAGAAACATTGGAGTCTTGCTAGGAACTCAAGCTTAGGACTTCTTACTTGAGGAAATTCAAAGCTAACAATTGCTTTAGTTCCTCTTTCTCCCATTGTGACTAGTTCCTTCACCCCACACTGTAATAAATGTAGCTTTTGAAGTCGCAAAAGGCTTTTGCCTATTGAAGCTGGAAACAAAATTTTGAGACTCTCACAATAGCTTACCATGACCGATTCCAGGTTGTGAAAAGTGAGTATTCCTTGGGGATCCTTATTCCACACATGCTTCAATCTTGGTAGGCCTTCAATATTCAGTTCTCTGAACTTGGTGTCAATTACTGCATGTGTTTTTTTGACATTGAATTTGCCAATTTCAAATATCCCTTCTAGCAAGCCACATTGACAAATAAATAACACCTCTAGGGCTTTCAAGATTTTTGCCAATATATCAGTGGAAGGAAAAACAGTCAATAGCTTTTCACAATTTTCAACACTTAATGATTTTAGTCTGCAAAAGGAATCTGCAAATAGTTTGTTGTGCCACATAATCTCCAAGATTTTCAAGTGGGTGATAGTCAACCATTCCAAGTTAGGAAATGCAACCTACGTAATGATGAATGCATCACGCCATTAACAATGAAAGGATAAGGACAATTATTAGTCCTTAAAATTAAAGCCAAAATGAAAGCGAAATGAGGAACATATTACTTGTTCATTGAAGAGCGGCTGTATGTCAGCTATGCAAATTGTGCTTTCAAAATATTTAACTGTGAATCACTTCAATTCTGGGCAGTTCAGTATTTCCAAACACTTTAAGAAAGGGAATTCAACAATACAATTTCCTAAGTAGAATCCAACAAGTTTTTGAAGGTCTTTTATCAATAGGTAGTTCAATTGAGGAAAAATCAAATTCTCTTCTTCTTCCGCATTCTCTATGACAATAATTCCTCTCATCCTTTTACAGTCCTTTATTTCAAGTTCTTCAAGCATCACCAGACCTCTAGCCACACAAGATGAGAATCAAAATTCCAAATTATCAAAGCCTTGAATGATCAATATCTTTAGTTTCTTGAAACAAAATGGTGTTATTGAAGTGTGCCATTCGATGTTAACATTCATCCAGCATAATTGTAGCTTTTCTAGGCTTGGTAACACAACCTGCATACAATTCATTTTGTAAGAAAAGCTTATCATTTTGTTGATGGATAAGAAAAAGGATGGTCAA